AGCTAACCGCTAAGCTAATCACCCACATACACATACACAGGGAGGCTAATGCTAATGTTAGCTTCACGAGGCTAACGCGGGTTTAATGAAGAAAAATGTTCTGGAAGAAAAAACAAATGTGACAATATTTGGATTTAAAGTAGATTATTAATGTACAAAAACAAGGACTAAACCCAGAACTGAACCAGGACTAAACCAGGACTAAACCAGGACTAAACCAGGACTAAACCAGGACTGAACCAGGACTGAACCAGGACTAAACAAAGGCTAAACAAGAGCTAAACCAGGGCTAAACTAGGTCTAACCCCGGACTAAACCCCGGACTAAACCCCGGACTAAACCCGGACTAAACCCCGGACTAAACCCCGGACTAAACAAAGGCCAAACAAGAGCTAAACCAGGGCTAAACTGGGGACTGAACCAGAGATTAAACCAGGACTAAGACAGGACTAAACCAGGGACCGAATAGGGACTAAACAGGGACTAAACCGGGACTAAACCAAGTCTTAATCAGGTTTTAAACAGGATTAAGCCAGGACTAAGCCAGGACTAAATCATGGATTTAACTAAGACTGAACCAGGGACTGAACCAGGGACTGAACCAGGGACTAAGTCGGGACTAAGTCGGGACTAAGTCGGGACTAAGTCGGGACTAAGTCGGGACTAAGTCGGGACTAAGTCGGGACTAAGTCGGGACTAAGTCGGGACTAAGTCGGGACTAAATATCTTAACTTAGTCTAAACCAGGTCTTAACTGGGTCTAAACCAGGTCTTAACTGGGTCTAAGCCAGGTCTAAATCGGGTCTAAACCAGATCTTAACTGGGTCTAAACCAGGTCTAAACCGGATCTTAACTGGGTCTAAGCCAGGTCTAAGCCAGGTCTAAGCCAGGTCTAAGTCAGGTCTAAGCCAGGTCTAAGCCAGGTCTAAGCCAGGTCTAAGCCAGGTCTAAATGATGTCTAAACCAGGTCTTTATCAGATCTAAGCCAGGACTATAGTGAAACTCAGCTGTAATAAAAATATAAAACTAGGGCGTAACCTAGATTAAAAGAACTAAACCAGGATCAAACCCGGACAAAACCCGGACAAAACCAGGACTAAACCAGGACTAAATCCAAACTAAGCCTGAACTAAGCCAGAACTAAGCCACAATTCCCCACAGGACTATATAAGGGCTAAAACAGGATTAAGACTAAACCAGGTCTATACCAGGTTCATACCAGTTTTATTCCAGGTCTAAAGCAGGTCTAAACCAGGTCTAAAGCAGGTCTAAATCAGGTCTAAATCAGGTCTAGCTCAGATTCCAGGAGCTGATACTGTCTTCGCTTCTTGCAAAACAAACAAAGTCGTGGGCAAAGAGGGGAAAAAAAAAAACGTTCCGAGGAGATAGAAAGTTGTGCTGCGTCATCGGAAAGACAAGCCACAACAAGTGAAGAGGGCGACTGTTTCTGAGACAGGACCCAAGGGTGCTGCTGTCACAGATCCCGCGCAGATACTGTTGTTCGGGAGACAATCGGAATGTTTGGGAGACAATCGGAATGCAAAGACCACGGTTCACTCGAGAAAGTCACGGAGGCAAAGGTGAAAGGTGAAAGAAAGAACTGAATAAGAAACAAAGGGCAGAGCGAAAAACAATAAAATGGGAAAACAGTTTGTTTCTTTATTCCGCTTCAGTGTCAAACAAAAATAAAAACAAAGCAGATTTCGACCTCTGTTTCCAATATTTAATTTAAAGTTTATTTCAAATCACATCAATTAAAAAATAAAATAAAATCTGTGTCATTCATTCAATCGTTTTTCAAAATAAAACCAAAAATAATAAAATGAAAAAAAAAAAAAAGAAAAACAACTATTTCCTGGTTTAATCCTGGTTTTGTCCTTGGTTTAGTCTCAGGTTTCGTTCTGGTTTAGTCCTGGTTTAGTCCTGGTTTAGACCTGGTTTAGACCTGGTTTAGACCTGGTTCAGTCCTGGTTTAGTCCTGGTTTAAACCTAGTTTAGTCCTTGGTTTAGTCCTTGGTTTAGTCCTGGTTTCATCCCTGGTTTTGTCCTTGGTTAGACCTGGTTTAGACCTGCTTTAGTCCTGGTTCAGTCCTGGTTTAGCTTAGGTTTAGTCCTGGTTTTGACTCACGTTTAGCCCCTGGTTTAGTCCTGGTTCAGTCCTGGTTTAGTTCAAGTTTAGCCTTGGTTTAGTCCTTGCTTTAGTCTCAGGTTTAGTCCCTGGTTTAGTCCTTGGTTTAGTCCCTGGTTTCATCCCTGGTTTTAGTCCTGGTTTTGTCCTTGGTTTAGTCCCTGGTTTAGTCCATGATTTAGTCCTGGTTTAGTCCTTGGTTTAGACCTGGTTCAGACCTGGTTTAGTCCTGGTTTAGTCCTTGGTTTAGTCCCTGGTTTCATCCCTGGGTTTAGTCCTGGTTTAGTCCCAGGTTTAGTCCAAGGTTTAGACCTGTTTGTGTCCTGGTTCAGCCCTGGTTCAGCCCTGGTTCAGTCCTGGTTCAGTCCTGGTTTAGTCCTGGTTTAGTCTTGGTTTAGTCCAAGGTTTAGACCTGGTTGTGTCCTGGTTCAGTCCCTGCTTAACCTTGATTTAGTCCAGGTTTAATCACTGGTTTAGTTTTTTTTAATGCCATATTTTTTAACATTTCAGACAAAACAGAGCAAAGGATCATGGTCTATGTAGTTTAAACCATTTTAGACTCAATACTGATTCTGATCCCACGAGAATAATTTAAAAAACCCTCTTTTTTAGACAATAGAACATGATTTTCAACATTTAAATGGTCGTAATTTTGTTTTTTATTCCCATGTTTGGCCTTATATTTTTAATTTCTGATTTTTTTAGTATCAAAACCAGGGAAAAACCAGTTTGAGTATCTGATTTTCGATGGCGTTGTGTCAGTCCAAATGGAGCGAGTAAACGAGGAGTATTTTTAGCCGGATGATTTCTGACATACCTTTTGTCTGGTCTTTGGGCGGTTTGACATTTCACTTTCTCTTTTGTGAGCGGCTCCTCGGCTCGTCTCTTCCAAAACACTCAAAGCTCAGACGCTAATTGGGTCAAACTCTTTTTAACAACGTGAACTCGATTTGAATGTGAGAAGAAGAAGAAGAAGAAGAAGACGCCGGGTTTTATTCTGAACTCAAGACGCGAGACAAAATCAAAGAAACACACAAAACTGTAGATTTATAGAGTTACTACTACTACTACTACTACTACTACTACTACTACTTTTTCTATTATATATCTGGTTAGTAGTGACTGTACTATGAACCTAATCGTTGAAAACATTATGGTTCATTTTTTACTTGGCGAACTTCTGCTACTATTGCAACTACTAGTACTACTATTACTGGTGCTACTGCGACTACTACTACTACTTCTACCTCAGCAGATGGTACTACTACTATAATTCTAATCGAATATCTGGTAAATTGGGTAGTGATTGTAATATATGGCCAGTAAATTAGTAGTGCTACTACTCCTACTTCTGCTGCTATTACTTCTACTACTATTACTACTACTGCTACTTCTACTATTACTATTACTACTACTACTACTACTGTGATTGTATGGATCAGTAAATTAGTACTACTACTGCTATTACTACTATTGCTACTACTACTACTACTGTTACTACTACTACTACTACTACTACTACTACTACTACTACTACTACTACTACTACTACTACTACTACTGTTACTACTACTACTACTGCTACTGTTACTACTACTACTGCTACTACTACTGTTACTACTGCTACTACTACTACTACTACTACTACTACTACTACTACTACTACTGTACTACTACTACTACTACTGTACTACTACTACTACTACTACTGTACTACTACTACTACTACTACTACTACTACTACTACTACTACTACTGTACTACTACTACTACTACTACTACTACTACTACTACTACTACTACTACTACTACTACTACTACTACTACTACTGTACTACTACTACTACTACTACTACTACTGTACTACTACTACTACTACTACTACTACTGTACTACTACTACTACTACTACTACTGTACTACTACTACTACTACTACTACTACTACTGTGATTGTAATATATAGACAAGTAAATTAGTACTGCTACTACTGCTACTACTATTAGTACTACTACTGCTACTACTATTAGTACTACTATTACTGCTACTATACAACTGTTACTACTGTTACTCCTATGGCTGTTACTACTACTGTTACTTCTACTTGTCCATATTTGTTTCTCATTTTCTCCAAAAACATTTCATGTATTTGACAAAAACACAAGTGTTTTATGAGACTTAAAGCTCCTGAAACAGACGAACTAATACTTTTACTCAAACACTTTTAATCTGAAATATAATGAACTTATTTAAGATTTTACTAAAGAAACTGTGAGGAAAAAAAAAAAAAATCCCCAGTTTGGCAGTTTTTTTTTTTTTTTAGATTTCACATTTTACTTCCTGGTTGGAAATCATGACATCACCACAGGGAAATCTATAACTGTTACCTAGCAACCATGAAATACACTGGGCCAAAACTCCTCGAATGTCACAGAAATTATTATTATCAGACAAATTAAAAATAATAATAATAAAACACCTTTAGTTTGTTTAAATAATTGTTTAAATATCCGAAAAAATGTGTTTCTTTTGTGTAAATTGTGGCGACTCTTAAAACACAACTCTCCACTTCCTTTCATTTTCAACAGATTTAAAAAAAAAATAATTTAATTTAATTTTAAATTTATTTTATTTATTTTATTTTATTTTATTTTATTATTTATTTATTTATTTATTTATAACTTTTCTCTGTAATTTATATTTACTACAGGCATTATCCACCACTTTAAGTCAAAATTTGAGAATCATAAAATCCTCTAACACGGACTTTAACAGTTTATAATAAAGTACAAAGTTGATAATAGTTTTGTAATAGTTTTGTAATTGTTTTGTAGTTGTTTTGTAATAGTTTTGTAATTGTTTGTTCTTCCTGTAGGGGGCGTCGTCAGTAGGATAGTGTCAGTTCCTTCGGGTCCGTTGATACGAGTGGAGGGGCAGCCCATCTCCATCCGCTGTGACGTCAACGACTACGGAGGCCCGGACGAACAGGTAAACACCGACCACACTCAACCGGACTCAACCGGATTGAACCAGATTCTGTTTAATTTTGGGTTTTTAAAGCTACAATGTGTAACTTTTCTGGTAGAAAATCCATCAGATGCTTTTCTGTGTTGTTAGATGTTATTGCTTTGCTTTGGAATGTTTCACAAGGTCTAAACCAGATCTAAACCAGATCTAAACCAGGTCTAAACCAGGTCTTACTGAGGCCTAAGCCAGGACTATCCAAGGACTAAACCAGGACAAATCGAGGTCTAAATCAGGACTAACCATGGTCCAAGCCTGAGGTCTAAACCAGGTTGAAACCGAGTTCTAATTGAGGTCAAAACCAAGGTCTAACCAGGTCTAACCGAGGTCTAAATCAGGCCTAAACCTAGTCTAACAGAGGTCTAACTGAAGTCTAAAGTAGGTCTAACCGTGGTCTAAACCAGGTCTAAGTGAGGTCTAGACCAGGTCTAACCGAGGTCTAATCGAGGTCTAAACCAGGTCTAACTGAGGTCTAAACCAGGTCTAACCAAGGTCTAACCGAGGTCTAATCCAGGTCTAAACCAGGTCTAACCGAGGTCTAACCGAGGTCTAACCGAGGTCTAACCGAGGTCTAACCGAGGTCTAACCGAGGTCTAAACCAGGACTGACCGAGGTCTAAACCAGGTCTAAACCTAATTTAACCGAGGTCTAACCGAGGTCTAAACCAGGTCTAACCGAGGTCTAACCAAGGTCTAAACCAGGTCTAAACCAGGTCTAACCGAGGTCTAATCAGGGTCTAAACCAAGTCTAAACCAAGGTCTAATTGAAGTCTGAACCGGGTCTGAACCGGGTCTGAACCGGGTCTGAACCGGGTCTGAACCAGAACTAAACCTCAAAAATCCCTATAAAACCAGACCTTCTGACTGTGAGCGGCGTCGCCTCTCCACAGATCTGACCTGTAACTCGCTCTGGTTTGGTCTCCGTGGAGATAGAAAGGTTTAATTCCACCAGAAAAGTTACACAGTGCACCTTTAAATATACAGAGAAGAAAAAAGCTGTATATTTTTGTGAATCTCTTGGTTTATTTGTCGAGTTTTAAATGTGTGAGAAAAACAAAAACATGTGACAAACCGTGATTAAAATAAAAAGTCCTTTGAGTCAGAGTTTGGGGACGAGTCTGGACGTGTTTATGTTTGAATCACATTTTGAATCACGAGAAAAAAACTCCAGGACGTTTCTTTTATCGCTGTGGTAATGGTTGACTTGACTTTGTGAATCATCTGAACAAATTTTTGTAATCGCCCGTAACAAACGCAACGTAAAACCCGTGTTACGCAATTTTCACATCTGTGTTTCCTTTTCAAAAACTGACCTGGATTTTTGTTTTTATACGACAAAAAATGCAGATAAAATTGACTAAACTGCGCGACAACTATAACTGAATGAATGCGATAAATTTAAAGTGATACTGTGGAACATTCCAGGCAAAACCGTCACATTTCCATGGAGTCGAGCAGTTGGACTAATCCCAGAAAAAATGTCGTGCGGCTTTAAAATCGAATTCCCAAACCTTGTTCCTCCTCAAAAAACATGTTTCAAAATCTCCAAATTCTCCAAACGCTCTGTTCCACCTTGTGATGTCATGACGTGGTGGAGT